TTCTCAGTGACCTTTTTCCGCTACATATATGCTAGCACCTACATTGCCATTAGAGCATAAATTGATTAAAAAGCACTTTTGTGATGTTAGCTGGACATAGTTTTGTGTAACTGGTGCCAATGAAAGTGCCATAACCCAATATGTTAAGAACAAGCAGCTTCTGTGTTCAAACATCAGCAAACTTTAATTGTCTAGATAAAGCTACCAGGCATATCCCACTTTCTCTTTGAAATATTAGACATGGAAAGGCAGACAAATTATTCATGCCAAGCTTACTTGGGCATTTCTTTTGGAGTTGACTCCCCCTTTCTTTCTTATTTTTAAATATTTTAATATTTCAGGTAGCAAAAATCCTAGAATGGTCATTTTATATGGACCTGTGCAAGATCAAACACAGCAATAATCACTATTAGTCATTAAAGCAAGATAACAATGAGCATTCTCATGCTTCATTGTCTGTTATGGGCAATTCAAATGCTTTAAGGAACTGCCAAATCTGGTTAAAATCTACAAATTTGGAAAATATCCTTCTTCACATTCCCAGAGATCTAAGTTGTGTGTATTTTGTGCTGCTTTCAAAAATATAATTTAGGCCCTTGAGGATGAAAGCTGAGAGGTATTCTTACTGATGATTATTATATCCACCATGTATATATCCAATTGTGTTCAGTGCTTTGCAGTCACCCTTCAACTTCTTTCCCGTAACAATCTTGTGGATTAGCCCATTTATTTTTCCTTTTGTTGATGGGAACAGACATTGAGAAGCTGCAATCTGTGTTGGGGAACTTAATCTGCCTATAATTGAAGAGGGTGTTAATGACTTGCCCGACTTGCTGCCAGGCTATTTGCCATGCTTCTGTGTAAACTAAAGGGCACTCCTATTTATCCTGACTTTGGAGCAAAAGGATGTCCAGAACCTGTGGACTTTAGTCTAGGAATAGGACTGTAGCTGGCTAAATTCTTTAGCGACTGGTGAGCAAGTTTCAGCAATGCTTTTGAGAGAAAGATACGTTTAAACTAGAAAGTTCCATTTTCTTTCCACCGAGCCTGGTGGTGATGGTGGAGATGGAAGCATCTTTCATCATTGGGCAGTCAGGGGTTGCAAAAGGAGTTTTGGGGAAAATAGCAGGATAGCTAGGTAGCATCCTAGGCAGCAATACAGTATCTTAAGGTGGGGGGTTCTTTTTTTAATTTAGAAGTATAGAAGAGGAAGGCACAAATGTGGGAGAAGTGATCTTTTTCCTCCTAGTAGAAAAATTATTTGGGGGGATTCATTACTTGTATGTCTGTGATATGACCTGATAGTTATTTTGAAATGACAGAAGTCAACTGTGATCCAGTATACAAGTTATACAAAAGAATTTACACTGAATCACAGTTTGGAAAAGTTAATTTGGGGGATTATAATCTTGGGATTCTGGAATTTTGTAGTCCAAAGTTTAAACCCAATATTAGTGCTTTTATATTGTCCAAGCAGCACACTCAAGAAGCATGTGTAAGAACAGTGTCATTTTCTTCCATTTAAAAAAAAAATTATGCAGAGAGGGCAAGGAAACAAATCCAGTACACATACTGGGAAAGCTGGGAGACTACCATGAAGATAGCAGAGGACCGTTCTTCCATTTTTCTTCCTTTCTGGCAACACCAGCAGCAGCAAAAGTTTGTTAAAGTAGAAATAGTGAAATTCTAAACAGCAGCTCATGGGAAGCTTATCATGCCACAGTAGGAGTGGTGATACTGGTGTTATATTGGGAGATAATGTCATTCTAGATATATTGTATATAAAATGGGGGGAGGACTGAGATGACACCAGTATTGGAAATAGGAATAGTGCCAGAAAGGTAGGGGTACTGTTCAGCCCCAGTGTAAATGAAATCAGAACAAGCAAATCTGAATCAGTGATCTCTCCGTGTAAAATCTCCCTCTCCACCAAAAAAAACAGACGGAAATAGCAATTCTAAGAGCAACTTAACTTATGGTCCTTCAGATGTTGTTGGATAGGAATTTCCCAGCAGCCAAACCAGCATAGCCAGTGGAGGATGAGTTGCCTGCTGTATTGTCAAGGCTGACGAGAGTTCTTTTTGAATCCAGTGACAACGAATACATCCATGAAAGAAAGGGCAGTAGATTTTATTAAGGAGACAAGAGACAAAAACAAACAAAAAAAAACCACCAGCAATAAAAATAGAAAGTAGAGAGAAACCTCATTCCTTTTCTGTATACCACACTAGGCCTCCTCAGTGTTGGCATTCGCCTCTTCTGTACGGGTTGTGGATTGAGAAACAGACGGTGTTCAATTTACCCAGGGTCTTTCTCCTTTTTCAGAATGAAGGCATTTTGGCCATTTCCTGACATTTCTGCTGGCTCTCTCAGAATTGGCAGCCATAGCTACTAATGGAATTATAATTTTAGTTTGTGTTTACTCCCAGCAATGCTACAGCATTTTTAATGTCTTAGAAAGTGAGATTCTTATTGGTAGGATATAAAATACAAAAGGCTGAGAGTACATTGGTCTGAGAAAGAGTTTTCACCTCAGTTGAAGCAAATGGGATATTTTCTCCTGAGGCGAATTGCAACTCTGGAAGATAGGGTGGGGAAAAAAATTGGGAGAGACCTTGGTAGAGAAGTGAACAGCTAACATACACCCACAGCTTCAATCTATATTGCCACATCACAGTAAGTGCTACAATCGTGCCTTGACTTATGAACTTAATTGGTTTCGGAAGATGGGCATAAGTCGAAATGGCCGTAAGTTGAAGAACCATTTCCCATTGAAATGCAATTAATCCGTTCCGGCCGAAATGCAATTAATTTGTTCCGGCCGAAGAAAAAAATCACCAAAAAAAATCACTGCAAGACTCGGTGGAAACGCGATTAATCCCTTCCGGCTGAAGGGGGGGGAAGCAATCAAGCATGCAAGACCCATCGGAAATGCACAGAAAACAAACAGAGCAGATCAGAAATGCAGAGAGTAAAGGGGCCAGGTCGGAAATGCACAGAGAACAAAGGGACCAGGTCGGAAATGCACAGAAAACAAACAGAGCAGTTTGGAAATGCAGAGAGAACAAAGGGGCAGTTTGGAAATCCAAAGAGAACAAAGGAAAAAGCAAGTGAAGCATGCAAGACCTATTGGAAATTGGGGGGGGACCCCAAAAGCAACCAAACCCCAAAAGACCCATCAGAAATGGGGGGGTAACAAAACCCCAAGACCCATCGGAAATGGGGGAAAACCCCAAAAAGCAACCAAACCTCCAAAGACCCATCAGAAATGGGGGGGACAAACAAACAAACCCCCAAGACCCATCGGAAATGGAGAAAAAAACCCAACAAACAAACAACCCCCCCAAGACCCATCACAGCACAGAAACATAACCCCCCAGCCCAAAACCACGCTGCAAAAACGCCCAGAACATTTTTTTAAAGCAGAAAACAGCACCTTACCTTACCACGCACCCTCCTCCAATCGCACATTCTCTAACTGCTGGGGCAAAAGAGCTACAAAGAAGCAGCCTCGTCGCCACCTACAGTTAGAAATTTGAATTTCCCACCTTTTTTCCCTGCCTTTTTCTACTCGTAACTGGAAGCTCCGGCCGCAAGTTGAAGCAAAATTTTGCAGCTGGAACTGGTTGGAACTCGAAATGGTCGTAAGTAGGAACATTCGTAAGTCAAGGCACCACTGTATTTGAAAATACATTTATGATAAATGATGTAGAGCATTTAATATCAGTACAAGCAATGGATGCATGACGCATTCATAGCAACAAAGGCCAAGGTGAGACAATTCCTTTATTGGTTCACTAAAGGATACAAACAAAGTGAGCTTTTGCCTTCTCTAGAACTGTTCATCAAGCAAAGATGGTTAAAACCAGGGGTTTAAAGCACAGTTCACAAATTCGGCCACATGTGAACTTCCTTGACTCATGTAACCAGACTGAAACGGAGGTGACAAAGGTAATGATTTCCAGTTTGTCTGCTTATGATCAGAAATCAGATATTGGGGAATGTAAGAAATTGCAATAAACAAAAAGATACATTTTTTAAAAAAGAGAAGCAAGACATGTACTGTAAATTCTGTTTTTAAAAAAAATAAAAGAGAGAGAGAGAGAGGAGAGAGAGAGAGGAGGTGCTCCATAACAGCAGTTATTCTACACGTTCCCATGAAACATGGAAAATATAAACAGTGTATAAAACAGACAGGCGAATTCTCCTATTAAACCAGCATTGCTTGATGCATCTTTGATCAGTGCATGCCCTCATAACTGTCCATATTGATTTGGAAATATGTAAAATCTCTTGTTGATTGTTCTCTGTAACCATTATAATGAATGTGTACAAGCATTGATGATTATGCACATTCACCAGTCAGATCACATAAACAGTGTTGTCTTTCTGTTGCTTTTGGCTGACATGTCTTTATTCTACAGGGCTTTTCATTTTTGGTAGTTTTATTTTTAATTCCAGTCTGTTTTACTTTGGTTTTTGATGGTTTCTTATTTTTAACTATTCTGAGATCTGTACCTTTGTGAACAACTTAGACTGCTCTGTTCTTTAAAGAGTCATTACAGGCAAATGGGGACAGAATCCCATATATAAAAATGGAAAATCTTGGAATGATTTCTCATTCAGAGTATAGTTTCCTGCTTTTTGTGGGCCAAATTAGACATTACTTGCTCAGTAAAGATAATCTGTGCAGTTTACTCATAATGCCCCCCTGGAAGAATAGTATAGATTTCTTTCCGCTGGCTAACAGTATAACCTAGGTGAAAATTTGAACTATACACTAAAAGTATTTTAAACTATAAAGCTTTGAGCTGTGTGGCCTTGAAATGTTTCTGGGTAGAAACTCCCATCATCTTCCACCATTGGCTGTGCTTGCTATGGCTCATGGCAATGTCAGCTCAACATCATCAGCAGGGTCACATGTTCCTTACCCATGCTGTAGAGTGCTTATTGGGGTTAAATCGTCTCAGTCATAATGGACTTCTGAGACATCACTTCCTATAACATGGTTGCTATGGTTCTGTTTAGAGATGGATTCACTGCAATGACTCAGGAAGGGAGGACTTCCCTTTTTATGGAGAGACTTGAGGAGAATGAGCATGAAGGACATAACATCACTTCATAAGTGTCTGACAACTGGATTTGGGGGGCAATGGTCCACCCTGTATGCCTCTTGACTACAAAGGCAGCACTGGGGGAATCAGTTGATGGTATGTCATATAGTATGAAGACATCTGTGCCTCTGTGCAATGAGGAAAGTCAAGGCCATGGTGCTTCACTCTTTAAAAGGAACAAGCGTAAGTTTCACACCTGAGGGATTGGTGGTTACAGTTTTGTGTTTGGTGTTTAATGTTATTTCCTAGAATGTGAGACCCATGAACCTTACTGGGTGAACTCAGGTCTGTCACACACTCCCAGTTTGACCTACCTCAACAGAGTAGGTGATTATGAGGATGAAGTCTGAAGCTATTGGAAGGATAAAGCAGGGAGAAGTATAGCCACGTATACTGCCTGGAGTCCACTGAAGGAATTAAGGGCAGAATCCCCCTTGTTTTTACCATATGTGCAATGATCTATTGCATGTGTGGGTGGTTTTTTTGTTCTTGTTGTTTTCAGATTTTGCCCATGCTCTTGTACATGGGAAAGCATACTGCAATCTCTAGCTCACACAGTGACAAGCCAGAGATTGTGTGGGGCACTGTGTCCATTGGGCACTACACTCTGAAATTATTCTACATGATTCTATCCTAAATAAATAAGTAAATTACTGGATCTGATGCTGGTCACAAACTCGATGATTTTTTTGTATGGGAAACATTGATAACCCTCCCCACAACTGAGGAAATGTTTTTTCAAAGATTATAGGAAATATGATCAGATTAAAAAAAAGAAAAGGGCATGAAGGGTTTTTAGATTTTATGCTTGCCTTCCCTTATGTCAGGACTGGGCAATTCCAGCCCCCCCCCCAAAGTCAAATGCAGTGGTGGACCAAATTGGGGAGTATGTCCAGGACTGATGACTGCCATGAACAGGGCTGGTGTTCCCATTATACACATCCTAGGCTTAGACATGTTCACTCACTGAGCCTTTTGAATTCTGTAGGAATTCTGTGTAGTAAGGTTATGTAAGGCTGCAGTCTGAGACATAGTTTATGGCTTTTCTAGTGGTGTTTAAAACACCAAAGTGAAAATTACGGATGAAATGCTACATTAATGTCTCTGGAAGATTTTTTCAGTTCTATTTCTTCTACAATTTACTGCTGTTAACCAAGCTGTAGTCAGTAACTGCCAGTTCTTATTACCCTCAGGAAGATGGCTCCTTACACTTCTGATAAAGCCTTTAGTCTGTGGGGATTTATCTGGACAAGAATATGAGAAAGACACACGCAAAGATAATTATGATTAGAGCCTTAGTGACTGGATAAATCATTTTGTAAGGCAGTGTAATTTACTGGGAGACAATTTTGTCTTCTGAAAAGAAGAAAATATCTAATATTAAAAAGTGCATGAATGTAAAATTCACTTTGATTGTTTTCCCCTCATACTCTCCATTTGTAGGTGTTTTTCATAATCTTAAAAAAAGGCAGAAAAGAAGACCTTAAGATCTATGAAGGCAAAATATGCCGACACAGATTCACAGTGTGTTTGAATTACACTAGGATATTGGCTTTTAAACACACTGTATGTAAAGTGTAATCCTATACATCCAGGATGGGGAATCTTTGACCAGTTGGCCTAATCAGATGGTTGGAGGATTGAGAGGACACTGCATTGCTCCCCAATGGGAACAGAGACTCAAGCTCATAGCACAGATTCTCCCCCATGCCACTAACCTTCCCAGTTTTGGAGGCCAGTGGCAGAGGGGGTGAGAAAAATGAGTGTTTTTCTTCCCAGAACCAAGTACTGGTTTCAGTAACATTCCTGCAGATGGCATTTGGATCTGTGTGAAGCTTTGCGCCTCGCTTTCCCTTCTGATGAATGGGATGGGAGTGAGTCCTCTCACCAAAGTCTGAAGAGCCAACCGTATTCAAACATAAGGAGTCAACCAGCTCTCCAAATGTTGGCTCCATCTGCATGGATTGCCTATCACTCTTGCTTTCCCCCCATGGGCAAGATCCATTTCTCAGCTGCCATGGTAAGTGGACATTACTACCACATTATAGCCAAGGAACCTATAATATAAGGTCACTTCTGTAAAATCAAGGCATGGCCATATTTTCTGAGTTCATCCACCCTTGTATTCCAAGAAAGTTACTACTCCTTCCTGTACACATTTATCTCAGGTTTAATTCCCAATGAACTTGATGTTGCGTACTTGTGATAAGTATAATACATGTAAGATTGCACTGTCCCTTTTTTTCAAACATTGGAATTGTTCCTTTTTTCTACTAAACATCTGGCTAGAAAAAGTAACCGTCCCCATCTTTGCACCTTGCCCAGATATTTGCTAGATATAATTATATCAAATATTCATTGGCCCAATCAATCATAAATATATGGTTTTCTGAGTATCAGTGGGTACAATGTAACACAGAATTTGGGAATTTTTAAATACTTTGAAGTCAGTGATATTTTGATGCTGTTTCTTCCAATTTATACACACACAAAATAACCTTTTGGGTTTTAAAAAAAGAAGTGTTATTCCCACAGTGCTACTTTCATACTATTCCTGATCTAGTGCCACAGGGGCCATGATATTTTTGTGATACTTGCAGTTGCAATGAGTGGGGCACATTTGTATCATTTGTATCATTTATATTGCTGTTTGAGTGCTGGTTGCATCCCACCTTTCTATAAGAAAAGAACTACCTCAAGGAAACATTTGTAATCTTCCATAATAATAATTCTTGCATGCCATCAAATCAGTTCTGACTCATGGCCACCATTTCCATGGTTTTCGAGGCAGAAGTACTCGGAAGTCGTTTACCATTGCAGTACGTTCTTCTGGGGCACTCTGGGATTCTGCAGCTTGCCCAAGGCTACACAAACTGGGAAGCACAATGGGGAATCAAACTCCCAACCTTTGGCTTTGAAACCAGGTACTCCAACACACTGAGTTTATCTAAATAAATGACTTTTATTAGAGGAACTTTAAACACTTATGCCTACAATAATGCTTGAGTTTTCTTTGGAACTTGATAGAAAAGTATCTTTTCTTTCTTGTTCAGAAAGATGCTCAATAATGGTTGTATACAATGAAGTTTCTGGTAACTTGGCTGGTAAGTGCTCGTACTGATAGAAGATACAATGTATTTTGCAATGGCAACTTTCTCCTGCTTTTTTCCCCTGCCTTTAAAATCTGGATTGGGAGGTGGTGGGGGGGGAAGAAACTAATAATCAACACAGAATAGCACTGTGTCTCTCTCCATTTAGCTGGCCACTATTACAGCTGCCTCATGTGATAAAGGAAGATGTAGTTGTGGTGCTGCTTTTAAAAGAATATGTGGTTACACTGACTGATGGTGGTAGCAATGTAAGTAAAGCAGAAAGAAGGAAAGAAAAAAAATCAGTTGGTCTGATTCTATAGTATGGAATAGAAGGGAGGCTGGGCTACACATGGCAATTGGAGCAAGCTGGATTGGGCTAAATAGAGTTGCTAGGAGGTCCCATATGTTCTTTGGCATGATCCTCACATCCAAATGGCATACAGACCTCAAGGAACCCTATGTATGTATGTATGTATGTATGTATGTATGTATGTATGTATGTTATTTATTTATTTATTTATTAGATTTCTATCCTGCCCATCTAGACCAAATGTTTAGATTTGGTCTGCAGCAGCTGCTGTCAATTTGCCAATATCGCGAAGTGGCTTAATAAGGCAACCACTTCAGGATATTGGCAAATTAATAACATCCTTGGCTCCATAGAGGGGCCAATACACACACACACACACAAATTCACTTTCTCAGTCCTTAGGTGTTGCTGAGGAACTGTGTAATTTGCCAATATTGTGAAGTGGCTCTCTTCTTAAGCTACTGTACTTCACATATTGGAAAATTAAAAGGAAGGCTCAGTATTGGTTCTTTTCTAGCAGTAACACACATAGGAAATGGACCAAACCAGAGCAATCTTACCCACACCAAAAAAGTAAAAGACCCTGACAAGGGCAAAAAAAAAATTGTGCAAGTGAACATTTTTATACTGTATTCACTGAGGTTTTTCTTCTTTGCTGCTGCAGTTCCTTTTTTTTTCATGTTGTGACTGCTGCTTTGTTTCCCTTAGTTATTTGTTTTTAAGCTCTAAACATTATTGTTGCAGAATGCACCATTTTGTAAACAATAATTAGTGGGTATCCATTTAGAATATTATGGGATGGCAGACCCAGCTCTTCAGAGGATTGGTTTCCTCATGCAGTGAAACTGACTTGACTGTACCTTTGCTGCTAACACTGTTCTAAGCGGTTGCTGGATTTAGTAATTTTTGGTTTTGCGTTTAGTAGTTTCATTGTGAGGCTACTCTTGGTAGATGAGGAGTGCTTCCAGATAGATTTTCATTATGAAGTCATTCCACCTTATTCATGGAAGTTTACAGCAAACCCATATGACTATGTCTTCATGTTGCACCCTGCCTTGTTTTATCATAGTTTCTTCTCCCCCCCCTTTTTTTTTTCATGTCACAGGTAAATCCACTAAGGGGAAAAAAGGTGTAATAACTGCATAATGCTATATGGAGGCATCCTGGGGTTTTCAGTGGCCTTGGTGGGTGCGTTGAAACCGACTTGTTCCCCAGTGTAATTGTCAGAATGTGGTGTGTATATTGTAGAAATCTGTCCTGATAATTACCAGAAGTCATTGATACTTTAACTTTTTAGCTAACGTATATGCATTAGGGCATATGAATACGTAGTGGAAGTGACACAAATGACAACGGCCGTGAGCAGTAAGTGGATAGCTCAGTTCTGGGGGGAGGATCCAATTGGTCCTGTCACCTGTGGTGGCAATATTCTTATCTCTACTCAGGACCTTCAAAACTAAAGTCAGAAATGTTTAATTTCTGAAAAATCACCACTGCTTATGACAACATTAGTCTTACATGGCACAAGTTATGGCAGCAGGATTTTAGCCAACATTTTATTCCCATCCAACCCAATAGGCAGATGAGTGGGCTGGCAATTGGAGCATTTGAATTTGCCTAACTGTTGCTTCCCTGGATAATAACTCAGTTTTTGTTCGTTTGTTTGTTTTTAAGATAATTTTCTCCTTAAAAAGGAGCCAAGGCAGCTTACAATAATTAAAATGCGGCATTTAAGATTAGTAACAATGACAATACATTACTAAAATGATAATTGAATACAA